TCACTTTCTGGATGCTTGCTTACAACGAAAGGAGAAAAAAGACTGGGGAAAGGACAACAGCAGCAGGGCTACAAAGGGTCCAGGCAGTCCCCCCGCGAGAAATAGAAAAGATAGTGAAAGGATAGAAATGCTGGAAACGGCAAAGGTGGGCCCACCACCCACCAGAGCACAATGAAAGGATGTTTCCAACACCTATATGCAATCAAAAAGACATTCAATATTTGTATATAATTGGTGTGGAGATGAGATGGGTGTCCTTTGAAAGGTAACTGTTGTGGCAGGCGCAGTGCTGATTTCGTGGTGCTGGAGGGGGGTTGGGGGGGGAGCACGCAGCGCCTCCCCCAGAGCGAACCTCAAATCAAAAGCCATCAGACTCGGAAGGCACCACAAAATAGACCATCCAAAACTACAACAACACCCATTGCCCGATCGATTAGCACCCAGAAGGTTCGAAGGTGACCGAAGGACCAAGGCAACCGGATAGTCACCCAATTCGCATAAGTACCTACGAACGTCGCACACCTCGCGTTTTTGGACCCATGGACCACCCTGGCCAGCGGACCAGGAAAAGGACCGGAAGACCAAAGGACGATCCGGAATTTGGCTTTTGTGAATCCTGTTATCCTGTGATTATTTCTTGTTGGTCCTGTTCTTCTTTTGGATCATGTTCCTTTTTAATTTGTCCTTTGATCCTGCAATCTAGAGGCCTCCCCACCGCACCCTGCAGCCTGGTCAACGCCTCATCTTGCGCGCATGCCTGACTATCAGGAAGTAGAACAGGAAAACATGCAAGGGCATTCAAAACAACAGCCTTTCCACTAAAGCAAAGTTTTCGAAAGCACGCCCAAAATGTACAGGTAAAGATTCTTCAGGAAAAGAATAGTCCGTGACCAAGATAGTAGCTATGTAATCAGCCCAGTCCCCGATGCCTTCTGCTTTTTTCGCTCTCGTCTCCCATCCGAAGTCCACCTACCGCGCCTTCTCACAGGCCGAGCTGACAGCGTTCAAGAGCACCACGCTGGCTTCGATGCCAGCCCTGCAGGCGCACAGGGCGCGGCACTGGCCCGATTGAACAGCTTGCAACACAGTAGTGGCCGCACAAACAAATTGTCGGAGCTTTAACAACATGTAACAACAGGTAAAACCCTAGTGCCCTAGTGCCAGCAACAGCAGCAGCAACAATGCTGTCACGTAAACACCGAGCTTGTTTACCCAGTCCACTGTCAACCTCCCGAAGCGGGTCAACCTCGCGAGTTTTCGTGTGCATGACTGGCTGACTGAGGTCATCAAAAACAAGCCTTCAAAACGTTCGGCCTCCAAAACAAGCCGAGCCAGAAAACCAGCCAAACAAAGCTTCCAAAAACTACTGTTTCATGACCCTCAGCAACAGAAAAAGCATCTCTTCCATCAGCAACAGGTCTTCACCTCGCGATCCACAGTTTCACTCGCCTCCGCAGCTGCAGCGTCGCCTCGGCCGCCACCCGCCAAGCACCGGCGCTGGCCTCGCAAGCGCTGGCCTGGCACTGTTCGGCGCCGTGCCAAGAAGCATCCCTCTGTTGGATGTCCGTGTTTCGGGCTGGGCTGCACTTGCAAGGTGAAGGTATTGAAATCCAGATTTATTTGGGCTCAAGGAACTTCTAAGAGAAATCTCCCACCAGAAGAAAGATCACTTCAAGTCATTCTGAAAGAACAAAAACCTTTCTCGCTAGGTCTGGGAGAACTTTCAGCGCAGACATAGACGGGCATTGATTATCAAGACTGAAAAATCAGGCTCCGGTGGACAATTGTCAAACCGGGACCTCCTGTTCTCAAAGTGAGCTACAATGGGTCAAAACCGACCGGGAAGCCTGCATGTTCTAAGCATATGCTCACTCGTATGCCCTGGTTGCCGTACCTGGTACCATCAGACCCGTTCCAGTTGTAATAGCTGCTCTGAAGTTGCTCAAACCAGCCAGGCTAGCAACAGCACCGAAGCCCACCGCGTTTGGCTCCAAATCACCTAGGGCTTAAGGTTCTGAGGGAGAAAAACAGGTCGACAGTCGACGGTCGACCCACGGTGAACGAAAAAAGAACAGCGAAGGCAGTCTTGTTCGTCTTAAAACACACACCCGGATTGTTTCACCTGATGTCCATGCTGCTTGGAGAACTGCCTAAACACTCAGAGAAAATTTGTCTAGTTGATCAACTACATCTCAAAGGATTCGATGCATCGATCGCACATTCTGGTCCTTCATTTGGAGTTGTTGCAAACACAATCATGCGACGACATACGACTTCTCTGCAGGTCTGCAACCAAGAAGCTCGCTTGCAGGTCCTCATCAGCAAGAATGATCGCAGAACACATGTCTTGACGTCTGGATGTGTCATCTTCTTTGTTGAGGAAAAAGGAACAAACAAGCCAAAGAATCCTTCAGATTTGAGCTGAGTGCATTTTGCCACAAACAAGCAGCAAAAGCACCAGGAGACTGGGGCTCAAGCAATCAGTGAATGCAATGCATGGCACCAGTTGCTCTTCTCACCTGGATACAGGCTATGCAGGCGAAGGCACAAGGCTCTTCACGAGACCCAAGGACAAATGGAAGGAAAGCCAATGGTGTATAGAAGTGAGTCCTCTCCAAAATGGTTCAAAAGTAGATAGAGTCGAGATCAATTCGGTGAACACCCTTCTACCCTGAAGTAACAACTGCCCTTCCGGTCCCTCCCTTTGGTTCCAAGCGGCCCCGCTCGCAGAGATCACCGAGCTCGCACTAATCAGGCTCGGCCTAGGCCGTTGACCTACCTGGTGTTGGTCGTTCACTACGGATGGATCAGACCTCCAAGGTGATATGACTCACAGCCACCGGACGCCGCCAGGACGTTTGAAGGGTCGGACTTCCATTGGTCCACCGACTTGGATGGAACTTCTTACTGCTCATGGAAGAAGTGTTTGAAACCCCGACGGATGTGGCCACCAGCCAAACCGTTTTTGCATTGATGGGAGTCAATTTGCCCAGCTGTTTCTATCTCAGGCTCCAACTCCAACCCCTCTTGACGCAACACAAGAGACTCCTGGAGTGCGCTGGCCCATGCCGATGCCCTGGCAAGAGCGGCAAGAGCAATGGGGAACAAGGCCAAGGAGAGCAACATCCGATACTTGCAATGCTTGTCCAAGCAAATCTCTCTGGCGTTTGTCCAAGCAACTTCGGTTCTCCCCATCCTCATAAAGCGCTTCGGTGTTGGAAGTGGATGCAAAATGGTGCAAATGACACTTCAAGCAATCCCCAAGTACAGGGCATCATGAGGCACAGGGGCTCCCTCTGCCATCAAACCTGTGCACCCGCCCTTCCGGCACCTAACGCAGGCAGCAATGGCGACACCGAATGTCACGACGTTTGGCCTCAAGTGGGGCCATGGGAAGAGGGCGCACACCACGAATTTGCATACTCTTGATATCTTGGGAAGGTGATTTTGTCACTCACAGCACCAACTCCATGGACTTCAGAATAGTCGCAAGTCTTCATGCATCTGCGATCATTAGAATCAAGCATTGCCGGCCTGGGCCTGATTAACCATGGACAACCTTCCCTGGCTATGGGAAACATGGACATGCAATTTGGGCTCTAGCTTCGTCACGGGAAACACCCCCACCCCCACGGCCTCGCACTGAGGCCACGACTCGAGGTTGCCTCATGTGGACACTCTCAAAGAGAGTCCCGTGATGCCAGGAGAAGCAAATTCCAATCTCTGACTGTGGAAGGTTGATCCACTTGATTCACTTCGGCAAACTAAAGGCCGCACTGGGAGTCTTGACCTCAGGAGTGGAGGTCGCTTCACGTGGGCTCATGAAGTGTCCATCTTTTGGAGAAGCCGCCGTTGATCATCAGGTAGTGAAGACAATACCAGCAAAAAAAAGTAAGCCAGTTGGCACCAGTCCCTAAGGCCCTAAGGAGTTCAAATATATAGATCCTCATTTGGAGAAAAGAAAATAAACGAAAGCAACATCAAAAGATTCACTGGTTCTGCGCAGCACAACTCGCCCTTTTGGCAAGAATCTTGGGCGCATCTTGGCTCTTAGCTCCAAAGAGCTGAGGGCAGCACCAGCTCTTTCAATCCCGCCAAGACATCCTTCCAGCGCAAAGCCTTTCCCCAGGAGGCAAGCAAGCCAGTGGCCCTGGAGTCAACGAACCGATTCATTTCGCGCGGCGGAACTCACAGGTTTCGTGCTTGGATTCCTTACAGCCTTACCATGCAATGGGAAGTACATGCCAACAGTTGCTGCTTTCCTTCAGCAGGCACCATCCGAGACTTTCAGAAGCAGAACTACAGTACTCAAGTACTCAGTACGCTCTCGAGCTGGTTTCATTCCACCCAGAACCTCACGTCGGTTCGAGCCACGTCGCTGGCATGGGACCGCCCGCGGACGCCCACGCCCGCCTCTTCACGTCGGCGCACTGGCAAGGACGTGTCTGGGCCATCCACCAGCCCCATGACGAGTGGCTGAGTGGCGGCTCTACAAGTTACTCCATGAAACACCATGGACAACAAAAGGCACCTTCCCAAATTGGGAACAGACGTAAGGCCAGTCACTGGAAGCTTTGTTGAAGTGTGGGCATGAATAGAGGGCCTAAAAGAATTCGTACGAACTGACACTGCCGTGACATGACATGTGTCAAAATGTTGAAAAGCCTGTTGATGAATCAAACCCCCATCTGGAGATGTGAAACCCTTCTGGAGACGAACTCCGGGCACCCTCTCACGTCCGACTCTGAGACCAGGAAAGCGACTTCGGCTCTGTCTGACATCGGCTCTCGTGCACGTCTTTCGTGCTTTACAAGTGCATGACATGTTCAAAATGATCTCTAACCTCGAACAACAAAAATAACAGAAGAAACACGCAAGTCTCATGCAAAAGCAAGCCATGGAAACAACATGAAACAAGCCTGCAACTTGAGCCAATGTGACATGAAATGCACCGTCATTCTCCTCCTTTTCTCGCAGGTGGTATATGTTCTACCACCTTCTCAGCCACATTGTCTTTGCTGCTTAAGGTAGACATCCAGCAAAGCCAGTTCGAAAGCATCTCCATTGGTGTCCTAGTTCGAGCGTCCGGTCCGATGCCGTTCCCGATCCAGTACGGCCGAAGAAAGCAACACAGAAAGCAATGGAGTGAGGCATACTCAGCTATCAGGCTAGAAAAAGTCCAAAAGTCTCGTGCATCAGGCTATCAGAAGCCTACTAGCCCCTGCTGCACAACTGGCCAAGGTCTGCAATACCGCTTGCTTCTCGTGCTTTTCTCCATTTGTCCCAATGTGTTCAAAAAACAGACTGCCAGGCTGTCCTCGTCATGCCACATGAAAGTCTTCCGAATTCGGAAGACTTTGCGCCTCATCTGTTCCAACCGCTTTGGGTCGTCCAAGTATGTCTTGAGAATCTGCCCGGCCTGCGGGAATGTCGCCAGTGTAGTTTGAGGTGCAATGGAGATATGGATACAGTGTCATGTTACACCAGGTGGTACCAAAGTCTGTTTCCTTGAGCATATCTTAGATAAATCTTGCTTCTTTTGCCTTGATAAAGAAAAATTGCACCAGGACCTTCACAGAACCCCCTGACCACAACAACATCTTGCGCTCGCGCGCGCGACTGTGGCCTTGTGAGCATCTTTGTCTTCGATGAAGATTGAAAATTCCCTCCAGTCGAAGAAACAAGACGCGGGCAGGTGATACCTGAGCGAGCGATCTGTCGATCTGTGCCGCATCCCACTGTAGCCACGTTCGCTATGGGATGTATGGCCACGAGCTGTTCGTATCTATAGCGACTGTAGCGACTAACATCACTGTAGCGACTGGCTTCTCCATCGAATTTCTTACAACCTTCTGGCTTCATTCAAACCACACCCTGGGTGAGATGGCCATTTTGAGGTTCACGGCTTCGACGCCCATCTCATCATACGAGATACAGTCAGTACTGAGATACTGTGAGTACTAGTGCTGGTTCACGATAAAACAGGCTAGTACTCTTCGTGCTTGGCTCAAGCCGGACCGAGTTCTAGCTAAGACACCCTGAAGCAATGATCACCTTGGCTGGGTCAGACGGGTCAAACACCACACCCCTCGGCAATGCAGAAAGAAAGCACACAGAACAAACATATGCTGAAGGAAGGAAAGTCGTGGTATAACCGAGTGGCAATTGGTCTGTGGTGACGGAGAATCACAGTCACTTACAGGATATGGGTATATGGTGTTGATTCTGCGCCAAGAACATCAGCCGTGGCAATCTCAAGAAATGGTGTCTAACATTTTTCTGTTTTGCTCGCCCTTGGTCTCCACTTTCATACCCCTGCCGTGCATATTATGCATCGAATCTCGAAGAGTGCCGCACAATTCAGATGTTGCAACATACATCAGTCGCTGCTTTCGCAACCAGACTTCAACCTGAAACAACTGGGCAGCACCACCCTCAAGGGCCACAGAACAAAAAGCAGTCCCAGAAACACAACCACCACAAGACACAACCACCACCCATCAATTCACTCCCCAGAACTCCCCGGACCACCCTCATGATCCCAATGCTCCGGGCTGTGTGAAGCCTCTCCGAGTCGCGGGGATGCAACCGAACCAAATCATCTCGAAGAGCCGAGGGCTCCACACCCGCGAGCCGCGCGGCGCCAGGCACAGATCCGACTCGGCCAAGCTCCGTTCGTAGGCCTGGCGAACGAACGAACGAACGTCCCAGGGTCCAACCTCCACCGTCCTTGCGGGTCGAACACATGGGGGTGACATTGGGTAGCCAAGGACCCTTTGGTCCCCTCCCTTCCCCCGTTTTCTTCATTTAGGTGGGACAATGAAGTGGAGGAAGGATTTTTTTGCCTGGCCTTCAAGGATCCTACTAAAGATGCATCCAATGGATGTGTGACAGTGATCAACAGCAAGAAAAGAATCATGAGACACTTGTTGCTGGCACTTCCAGCACCGCTCATGTCACGCAGGATTTTCACGCATCCACTCATATCCTGTCAGCGCTGCAAGCGAGGGATGCACCTGAGGGCCAATCTTCTTGTTGAAACTCGTTGGTTTATGCAGCTTTGCTTCCATAATGCTCCTGGACAGACTGGAGCCACCAGTCTAAGACATGAGGGTAAACACCGCACCGCACCGCTGAAGTAGCTAAACTAGCTGATATTGCAGGAAAAAAACTAGCAACAAAGCATCCTAGCTGCGCAGTCTACTTACAATACAAGCATCAAAAGTCCAGAAGAAGCCTAGAAGGACATGGAGTGCTGACAACAAAAAAAGATGTGTATATAATATGTAACATATGTGTGTGTGTGTGTTTCGCATAACTCTACAGCGTCTCTCGACGCTTGTGTAGCCTGTCGACACATCCAAAAGCCCAAATCAACCACCACATCCTGATGGCAATGAAGCGCACGGGGACGTAGTTCTGATCCCATCGTCCAGCAAAGAAGACGGAATTCTTTCGTGGACGCCCCGTGAGAGGCACCTGAGCATGCTCATCCCTCTCATCATTCTCGTCATGAGTATGATACCCCAATCACTTTCAACATGACCCATCTTCGTCTTTCACCCACCGGGTGAAGCTGCTCTTCTTCCCGGCTCTGCTTCTTTTCACCAAGAGCTGCGACCAAGCTGCTCGAGCACCCCTTGAAGCGAAAGATGTATCACCATTGCAGACTAAGGGCACGTCTAAGTGCCTGTTGAAGCCGTACCTCCGAAGCACTGGTTCTGAAAGAAGCTCACAGAGACGGACGGCCATGTCTTGGATGGCGAGGGTCGACTGCTAGGGTGACCCATGTCGATTGCTAGGGTGTCTGCACACAGGTCAAACAGCCTCCAGGTCATAGGAGATTCCAACCACAGAAGCACTGAAGTTTCAGACGGCCAGCTAGCTGGATCTCACACTCCACGCAACTGGCAACACAACTGGCACACAAGAAATCAAACAACTCTTAACTCCTCAACATTTCTCGACTTTTCGCAGTTTCTGTCACCCTTTGGGGTTTTACTTGGGGCACGAACCACGAGCCACCATCCCCGCCCAAACCGCACGCGGCGAAGCTCTCCAACTTCGTGTGCTCGGCATCGTCCGCCGTGTTGACCAAGGCGGAACCTGGGGCTTCGGCCCGTGGGGCCGCCCGGCTCAGGGCTCGGCTCAGTCGCTTCGCAGATGAACATAAGGGGGTTCAAGGCCCCGTCCAACAAAAGGACGAAGGAGGAAAAGGTTGAACTCTTTTTTGTGTGATGGTGCCAAAATCAAATTGCTTTCTGGCAGTTCTCTCTCTTACGCTTCAACATGTTGTAAGCAAGTCATTTGGGGTTCCACTTATGTTGTGTCATTTATCCATCTCCCATACGCTGAACGGTTCCTCACTCCCTGTTGACGTGAACATGATACTTTTACACCATTTTGCACCCCTTGGAGTGCGACCTAGACACTGTTCTTCGCCAACATCTCTGTCAAACTCAGTGCAGCATCGCTGCACAAGCTAGGACCAGTGTTCTGTTTGCATCCAACAAGCAGAGGCTCGGCTTTGCCCATGTCCTTAAGATGACCACTGACCACAACATTGGCAAGAAAGCTCTAAATGTGTGTGTGTCTATATATACACACTGTATGTGTGTATATTTATATATACATGTATGGGAAAGAGGGAGCCTTGACTCTTAGACTTGAAGATGCATCGTCTGCTAGTTGTTCCATGTTGTTTTATGAGCCACCTTCAGTGACTAAAAGACTAAAAGGTTGTGGGTCAAGCCCAGGAAGATGACTTGGTTGACCCTGAAATGACAAAAGGAACTACCAGGTCAACCTCACCTGGTGTGTGGGGTTTTCTAGGTTTTGACTTCATTGACTGCAGCTGCCAGCGAGGCACATGAGCGGAGACCCAAATGTGCCGCTGTCCATGGTTCCTGACCAGAGCTCAGAAGCGGTTTCTGGGCACAGCAGCTGGAATATCACCGGACCAAAGCCTTCGTGTCATCATGGATCCCATAGACATCTGTCAATCCGATGTTGAAGCTCTCTTCCAGGGCAACATGAGTGCTTCATGGTTGATGAGGGCTCTCTGTGAGACATGAGTTCAATCCCCTCCCGTAGAACAGACTCGGCCTCTGGAAAAAGGGAAAGTTGGATGCCACATCCTTCAGCATTTGCTGCATGCGCTTTCCTGCTTGCTGTCCTCCTTCTCCTCTGCTCCTACCCTGAGCAGTCGACTTCAGCGAAACCGCGAAGCTACAGCTGGGAGGTAGTTCCGCACCGAGACTCATTGAGATGATCCGCAAAAAAGCAGGCATATCATGGGAGGGTCAAGGCCAGGACACTTGTGACCGCCAGCAACTTGTAAAGGTTGGAATGTAGTAGATGCTGGCATTCTCAGGGTCTTGAACCTCACGGAATGGGTGCAGAAAAATCTGCAGGGTTTGCATGAAAATGTGTGACACATCCGCAGTCCTCAAACCCAAGATCCGCCCAAAAAAAACGTGAATTCAGCAGCCATGTCAATAATCCGCCATGTCACTCGCAACGAGGACTTCCGCGCTCGATCGTAGAAGTTCCACTCCGCCATATACCCGCGATTGGTGTTTTTGGGCCTCGCGGATGCACCGTCGGGTGGAGACGACCGGAGACCGGCTCCATCGGTGCCGTGCCTTGCGTTGCCCCACAAAACCATGCCTTCCTGTGGTCGTAACGAACCCCAGGACATGCCAGGCCGTTAATTCTCTGTTTCCGCCCAAAAGATCATGTGCCACATTGACATCATACTTGAACATACTCCATATATATATATATACACATACTGTAGGACAAATAGTAGCTGCTGTCAAGTCCATGACCTATCTATGTCCATCACATGTCGAATCTTCCGGCCCAACATGACGACCGTTGCACCTACGTTGGTCGCAATGGAAGTCGGTGGGATAGATGTACAGCCGCAGCCGCTCCCGCATCTCCTCAGGAGAGTATTGCGAGGTACACCAATTTAACCAATAGAGCCAAAAAAAGTCAATTGATTATGTTGTTGACTGTTACTCAATGCTTATTTGTCATTGGACTACTGCCAGCCATTCGGTCAACCCCACCATGTTGGTGACCAGTTGGACCTTGCCAAGGCATACCACTTCCTCCCGCGCGCCCCTCGACTCGTCGCACCAGCGATAGCCATGACTCTTTCAGAAGCTTCTGCAACTCCACCTGACAGCACCGGGTCGAGCTCAGGCGACAGCATGACCGATGCTTTCGGGAAGGAGAAAGGATGCTGTCTTACTCCTCACCATGAGCGAGCATCGGATGCATGACCGATAGTGGAACTAAGGAAGAAAATGATCTTAGATGAACATCTTTCTAAGATTGAAGATTGTTCATGTAGGTAAACAACACTACGACTGAAATTGAATCACGAGGATTTGGGGAGACGCTCATATGGGAAGCGGGCCCCTACTTAGTAGGGCCGGCCGGTAAAAGCATGGCGCACACAGAAAGAACCCAGTAGGTTTTTTCGTTCTTGTTTCGTGTAAGTCGTGTGACAAGGTCAGCAAGGGCGGGCAGTCTGATGGGGGAAGAATTTCCGTTTCACTACCTGCAGGGGTAGTTAAACCTGTAACAAAAAGCTAGTTAGACAGGTGGAGGCCATCGCTAGGGGCGGTTGGAAGCCTACCTTTTCTGATTACTCCGCCCGACCTCCGCCCAGTTCTCAAGGCCCTCCGGCGGCGTCGTGCCGCCCAGCTGGGCACAGCGACAGAAGGCTTCGGCGTGGGACCTGGGTGGGGCTCGAGTGACTCGTCTGTGACTTCTCTCGTGACTTCACGTGACTTCTCTTGTCTGGCAAAGAAAAGGAGTTGGTTTTCTTTGCGCCCACTGGATTGAGAGACTGTACGGCCATTTCTCTTTTCTCACAGAAGCTACTTGTTACCGGTACTCGACACAAGACAGTAGGCACAAAAGTGGGGCATCTGTCAAGAGTTCTGTCGGTTTCTTTGGGCAACATGTTGGATGTCGAAGACCTGCGACAAGCGTCGGGACATTGACCATGACCGGAGCGCCAGTCGTTGAGTGAATTGTGTCAGGTACAGGACTGGTGCCTGGCAGGGACAAACGGCTTCCTCGCCTGCATCCCTATAATGAAAGAAACATGTTTAAGGTACACATGTCAAACCATATCCAAAATATTACATATATATATATATATACAACATTCTATGCAAACTGTGTTGTGGTTTGTACATAATTTGACAAATCAAAACCATCCTGTACAAGTCAACTCCAAAGCAGCTATCAACACACGGTCTCAACACCTTTGCACATCTGCAGACAACAAGTAGGACGGAAAATCTCCTACACCGCTGTTCCACTGGTGTTGAGAGAAGTGACCCAGAAAGGCGGACAAAACTCCAGCTGCCTCTGTCGGGAGATGGATCCAGGTTCTGCTCTGAGCCTCAGAATGTGAGACAAATCCATTGAATAGGCGGGCGTATGCTCGTCCTAATGACCGGTGGAAGAATAAGCTGCGGAACGTTGACGTCGATCAAGGCAAACCGTTGATTTCATTGGATCGTTGGTGGTAAGTTGCTTGGATCCTTCACCATCGATTCCTTCCTTGATGGGCTTAACTTTGCACTATCCTCTATCCACTGCGAGTTGGATTCTGTCAGAACTGACAGGATCCAACGAAACAATGCGAAGCTGAGACATCAGCTCTCAAATGACCAGGCCGTCCAATTCTCAGAGACCTGACCAGCCAAGCTGGCCAGACAGGTTACAATCATGACGGGCCATGATGTTTCTGAAGTGTAGAAGATATGTCCATGACGATTACAAAACATAGCAAAAATCCAAAGATTAAAAAAACAAACAAGTAATTTGTAATAACTAATAATTAGTATAAACTAATTTGACAGCAGCACCAACTATCCCATACGAATCATACAATAACCGAATTACAATTGTAAATAACGGTTTTGACCACTGACCACTGCTCAAGTTCACGATCTCCATTTGCCTCGTCGTGCGTCATTTGAGAATCTATGTCATCTTGTGTCGCCTGCGTCGTGGTTCGGACCTTGGCAAACAAGTCTGTACGACCTATGGGGCCATGTACCAAAAACGAAGATTGAGTGGCTCAGGACCCAGCAGGGTCTCGGCTGTGCACTAAGGTGAGCAGTGGCCGAGTGAAACTTTTCGATGTGGCGATCTTGGAGTTCAAAGAGATGGCCTCTCCATGAGCAGCCGGTGCAGGCGTCAATCTCACACACGAAAGTGTCATCCCAATTCACTGCTTGTCCGGTGCTGGGTCTACATTAATTCAGGTGAAATCAGCCATGATGAAGGAAAAGGGCACTAACGTGTAACTCCGTTCAACTGCATAGTCAAGACCTGGTCATTCTCACTCGCACAATCAATTTAAGGATCTTCAAAAGGCTCCCTGCATCAAACACCAAATGGTTCCCGGTGTCGCAGACGACACGATGCCACGATGCCCCCCGCCAGCACCACAGACAACAGGAAGACCACGCTCACAGCGATGCTTCGCCGACATGTTCTCGGACATGCCATGTGTTTGGGCCATGGAGCTCAAGGATAGGGCAGGAAGCGCTTCCCGCCCACGCCCGGGCCACCACGCTGCCCACGCCCGGGCTAGGGCCTAGGGCCTGCCCAACCCTTGATGTGGTGAAAAGACTTGGAGCCTTCATCGAGAAATGAGTCTGACGCATGCGCAATTCTGTCGCAGTGTGGGTCACAGAAACATGAGGTCGCAATTACGCAGTAGTTTGCCATGACGGTCAGGTGCTGTGTGAAGACACTCTTGGAACAACTGGGCGATCACACCAAACCTTTCCAACTGCTTCAACGTCCTGACTCAATCAACAACCACCACTGACTGGCACGTTGCGTTGTAGCTCAGCGCTCCCAGGTGCGAGGTCTTCACACTCTTTCGCCAGTAGCGTTTTTTGTCTCGAATCGTTTGATGGCATGAAGTAAAACTCAAAGCTGCGCACACCTTTTCTACAAAAGTCTGGGGTCCAAGAACTCCTTGGGCTGAGGGCTTGGCTGTAGCTGTCATCAAAGCCTCAGCGGAACTTGAAAGTGGAAGCTTGGGGCAAAAAGGGTTGGGTGGGTGGGCTCACTTTTCGGCCGGGAGAAAAGCAAGCCCACCCACCTTACCCTTTAAGCCAAACATTGCAAATGAAACTGCCATCCGCTCCTGATGTCGCTTAAACTCTCTCGAGACCGAACGATCGTCTTCGACGAGCTTATCAGTCTCGAATCGTTTGATGGCATGAAGTAAAACTCAAAGCTGCGCACACCTTTTCTACAAAAGTCTGGGGTCCAAGCACTCCTTGCCCGATTTAAAATTGTTTGGCCCTTATCGTCTGACGAAAGGTGTGCAAAAACTCAAAGAACTCTTTGCCAGCTTCTGCAGTGCAACACTGTTCATCCTTAAGGAGCGGATGCACTAAAAAGCGAGAGGGGTGGTCACTGAGATTACATTCCGTCGGGACTCTAGCGAACCAAAGATGCGAACCGAGTTCAGACTCAAGTTCGAGCTGCAAATAAATCAAAGCATTTCCAATCTCTCCTTGTGCGCTTCCTTTGATAAGCGCGAAACGCACTGCATCATTGTCTCCAAAGTGCACCGTCAGGTTTCCAAAAGCAAAGTTCTTCCAGCTCATAAATGATCGTGTCTTTCCGAGAGGATCCAAACACCTCACACAAGTTGGAATCAAGGAAGATACCAAACCAAGCAATGCAAATGCCATCTCCACTCACCAGTACAGCGCCCAAGCCTCCGGTGGAGGTTTCTGGTTCAAAAGCCGCATCAGTGTAAACAAAGAATTGCTGCAGATCAGTCGAGTCTATTCTCTTGGGCTTGCAGGTGAGAAGTCGGTGGCGCATCCAGGTCAGCGCACTCTCGAGAGGCTTGCCAATGCGAGCTTCTGTGCCATAGGCGTGTTCAACAATCCTGTTCAGAACCATCTTGCCCAACCTTCCGTGAACAAAGCTGTCAGCGAACCCTAACCTCCCTCGAAGGACGAGGGATTCATGCCTCGACATGCAACCGTTGACTAGCATTCGATCGATGTGCTCGATCAACTCCTGCTTTCGTGCTTCAGTATTACCAATGGACAGGATACGGTCGCGAGCAAGACTAAGGTCAAACTCTACTCCGAGGGCATGACAAATCCTGGCGAAGTCGGTTGCTTTTTCGCCGTCTCGAGCAAATTCCCAGCCAGTCAAAAGAAAAATCATTTCCATACCATGTTGCGCCGACTTCTGTTTTGCTTCCTTTCAAACCAAAATGAAGTCGTCGTAGAAATTAGTATTAAGCAGAAAAAGACCTCTACACGCAATGCTATGTAGGGAAGGAGCCAATCGGAGGAAGTTGTAAACGCTGTGTGTTGCACCAAAAGGCAAAGTCTTCATTCTGTAGATCTCCGATTTATCAAGCTCATGGTTGTATATGCAGAAGTAAGCAAACTTCAAATGCTCACCTCGGATCGGAACTTGACGGTAGGCGCTCTTCAGGTCGTAGGTCTTTGCAAGGAACTCCGAATGAGATCCAAAGTGCTCGCAGCGCCGAAAAAGTTCTTTCATGAGAGCTGCAAAGGTGTCGACCATGCGCAGATCGATTTTGTGATGGGTGGAGGTGCACTCGTTGACCCCACTGACAGAGTAGTCATCGATCATACGGATCTTGGAACCTTGACGAAGTGGAAACCTTCTTGAAATCACTGAACCCTGTTCCAATTGGGAGAGCTCGAATGGACCTTCTGCCCAACCTTTGCTCAGCTCAAGACGTGTCTCCTCTAGGAGCTTCTGGTCCAGTTCTAACTCGCCACACGATGTAGCCATCTTCACTATTGCCTGATTCCTCCTGGCCGATCCTGCAACCAACTGTTCAACTGTGGCCATGCAAGGTTTGTACTGTGCTTTGAACAGCGAACACTTGTGAACATCCCCGACCAAAGTCGACCCGTGCCGAAGAATGTCCAACACACCCATATTTTCATAAGAAATGTCTTGCAAGATCTCTTCAGTGAGTAGCAAGCGTTTGGCTTCTGTATTTTGTCTGACATGTTCCGGTCGCTTCAAACGATCAGCTGTTTCTTGCTCTGCCAGTTGAGCAGCTCTTTTGAGCCATTTCCTGCACCAGGACATCCTGTAGTTCGCCGTTTGCTCTTCAGCGAATTCCAGTTGTTTAGCCATTGCAATCTCCAGGTCGTCCGACAGGGCCAGTGCATTGGCCATAGGATGTCCAGAATTGCACGCATGTTGTATAAAAGATTCGCAGTCCCAGGGAAGTCCAAAAACGACTCCCACACCTTCTTCTGAAAATTTTCTCTTCTTGGCCCCCTCAAGATCCTCGGAAGTACCCCCCTTGGAAAGAGTCGAGAGGGGGAATGAGCGCAGAAAACGAGAGTGGCAAGGAATGGTAACTGGAGCGCCCTCCAAAGTGAAGGCGGCAACATCTTTTGAAAGCTTGCTCAATAGACTGCAAGGGATGTCACTCAAAGATGCCACTGCAAATGTTGCTGCTGAAAAAAAATCCGGAACAATCTGTGGTAGTTTGTTACCCCTGGGCTGGTTTCCCACAGGAATCTGCGCATTGTGAGCAGCATGCAAAGGGTGTGAGTGAATTTCTTGTAGGTGAGCTGGCAGCAAACAGCGCCTTGACGATGTAGAGCTTGCAGGATGCATTGTACTATGGCAATGCGCAACTGTTTTGGATACTTTGACTCCAAACTTGTTGCCCAAACATGGGAGCCGTCATCAGCTTTGGCAAATCGCCAAGGATCATGTTGATGCAAATTGTCACACCTGGCGTTGATCTGAGAGAGTTCGTCAAAGTTCCCAACAAGTCTCGACCATTTGGGTCTCTTTCCACCGTACATGCAGGCTTGAAAATCAGTTATGGTCAAAGCCACACTCTGCCTAAGGCGAGTGAACCCATCTGTAAGCCAAAAATATGAATTCGAAGGGTTCTCCATTGTAACTAAAATATTGCGAGCAGCTGCGTCCTGAAAGAGCTTGCAACTGTATGCGAACAAATCATTGGCAATAATGACTCGGGTCATATCCTTCTCCGACAGGTCAGGCAGGCCATGCGGATAGTCATTCGACCTGAGAGGCTTGGGGTCAGACCAATGCCGTTGGATTTCACGCGCTCTGCTTGCAGTTCCGCAAACAGGCGCCAAATGCAGCCAGCAGAACAATGGAGATTGCATCCACTCTGCGACCAAATTCCTGTGCTCCAAGTTTCTCAAGTCCAGTTGGACAATGGAACTGTAAGCACCCGACTTGCGAACCTTGTCATCAGCAATACTGCCCAAAAGTCCACACTGCTTGGCAGTTGCACACAGTACGCCGTAACCTGCAAAGATTTCGATCATAAACAACTGTTCTATGTGAATTAATTGAAACTTCAATGCATTGGGTTGCACTGCAAACGATCAGTGCCCACTCTTGCCATGCTTGCTCAATGGATGAGGGCCTTGGCAACGAGGTTCACAACATAGATGCCAACCTTTCGGACAGCGCTTTCCATCTTTGATTGTCTTTGAATGTTGGCAGCCTGCAGCAGTGTTGTAGCCGAAGCAGAGCGGCTCTCCCTGAGCATTCTTGTACCACTTGCCTCGTAGTTCCGCAGGCATTGAAGGGGCAGACGACTTGCCTTTGCCCTTTCCCTTTGTTTTTCCTTTCTCTGTGCCCCGCTCCGAGCCCTTCTGTGATCCGTAGGGCTGAGCCCGCCAAGAAATTGACTCCGATGCAACTGAAATCGGCTTTGCAACTGGCGACAAGTGGAGGACAATGTTTGGATCAGCACGAAGGTCTAGCAGTGCTTCACCTAGAGGATATGTTCCATCAGCCCGTTGACGGATCGTTGAAAGACTGCTGGCTAGTCGAGTCCATGCTGCCCTGTCGCATTGCAGAAGTTGAGCAAGACTTGGACGCTGAAATCCCGGTGGAGCTTCACGATGAAGAGCGTCAACTAGAAAACTGAACCACTCATTGTGTTGGGCATAGCTCATGAGATTTGCAAACTGAAATGCGAGCGCCCTCCTCCGCATAGCGTAGTGCACTTTGAGCTCTGTATCAGTTGGGGAGGTCAAC